TGTGTGTATGATGTATACAAATGTAAGGGTCAGTATAGAATGCACATCCCCTCCAATCCCATGAAGACTATAAGGAAAAATACATCTGGCATCTGCTTAATGAAATTAATAAGCAGTTTGCAACCTTCAGACACAGTATTTTATAAGCTCCAAATGAGGTAATAAATGCTAATACATTACAGGTCACATGACTGAAACAGACCAAGTTTTCCAGGGCAACTGTAGTTCAGGAGAATTTGTGTTGTGGCCAAGACAAGGGAGGGGTCTAAACCCTAAATTACCTTTAATAAAGAGCAGCTATTCAAGGAACTAAGAACTAGTATTTATTTTAAATTACTGTGTTTTCTGCAGTAATATTGCAATTTTGTAGCAATTAAAATGTTGCAAAATAATGTTTTTTATACCAAGGTGTATTCCAGGATCTCACAGCTTTGATACTGCTGCAAATTTCTGACTGCCCCCTTTCAAAACTAAAGCGTTCATATATTGCCTGAAACCAAGCAAGGTATTAAAAATATGGACAGACTAACCGATTGTATAAACAACTTCAACATCATCCATTTGTGAGTCAGTAATGCTGTTCTTGGCTTCACCTTTCACATCGCCTAGGAGAAAACCTTCCTGTAAAGGGGAAGAGGAAAAAAATATTCACATTAACAGTAGCATTGAACAGACACTCCTGCTGTACTCGGCGCTGGTGGGGCCTTACCTCCAGTCCTCTGTGCAGTTTTGGGTGCCACAATATAAGATATAAAAAAAGAAAAAGCTATTAGAGAATGTCCAAAGAAGGGCCATAAAGATGGTGAAGGACCTTGAGGGGAAGCCGTATGAGGAGCGGTTGAGGTCACTTAGTCTATTCAGCCTGGGGAAGAGGGGATTGAGAGGAGACCTCATTGCAGTCTACAACGTCCTCCTGAGGGGCAGAGGAGGGGCAGGCACTGATCTCTTCACTCTTGTGACTAGTGACAGGACTCAAGGAAATATCATGAAGCTGAGTCGGGGGAGGTTTAGGTTGGATAAAGGAAAAGGTTTTTCACCCAGAGGGTGGTTGGGCACTGGAGCAGGCTCCCCAGGGAAGTGGTCACAGCACCAAGCCTGCTAAAGAGTTCAACAAGTGTTTGGACAGTGCTCTCACAGGGATGTGGTGTAACTTTTAGGGCAGTCCTCCTGTGCAGGGCCAGGAGTTGGACTTTGATGATCCTTATGGGTCCCCTCCGACTCAGGATATTATAAGAAGATTTTCCCTCTCGTATTAAGTGCAAACGCTGTCTTCAGAAGAAGAAAAAAAAAAGCTGTC